GACTGAGGTTGCATTTCAAAAAATCCAACCCGTATCGTATTTGGACCACATATGGAAGTGGCCCACATCCGAACTGGAAAAGATCAGATTCCATGTGACTTGGGCTGTTCGCACTTTGGCCTGCAGCCTAAAAGACTGCACCGAGGAAGCACTCCCACCCCGTAAATTTATTTGTCAGCTGGCTGCTTTGGTTCCTGAACTGAACTACTTGTCCTTCATTGGAGATTTCTTCCTACAATGTAAAGGAACATTGATGGCTTCTACATTTACGCAGAATAAGCTAATTTATATGTTTTAAACAGTTATGTTTTTAACACTAACAGAAACCCCTTTCTTCATAAAGTCCTCAAATGGTTTAGATGTCTAGATGATATCTTTTGCATGACCATTTCCTGGTATTGCAGATAAAAACTATGCGAGTGGTTTTAGAAAGAAACAATAATAACCTACTTTTCTTTGTACCTTCATGTTTTATCTAATTGGGTAAACACTTACACTCAGGTAAATGGCTTTAATAAGAATTTTCAGGATGGCCTAGCATTTTGGCACAGTAGTGTACATCTGCTGTCAAGAAAGTAAAACCAAATTACTATCTGACTTAATTACAAGTTCTCATTCTAATCCTGAAAGTCTTTGGAAGGCTGTAAATTCTATCAAAATGTGCCTAATCTCTAAACGAAAGAGGTCTATTAAGGTTTTAACAAGCCCCATTATCAGTGATAATGTGCCACCTTGCTGGTCATAGCCGCAAATTAAATTAAAACTCTGAAAATAAAGTTCATGTTGTTTTCCAAAGACAGACGTTCATTATGTTACAGGCCCCAGGCACAGGGCATGTGGACAGATAATAAAACCTGTAACACAGGAGAAATGAACAACACTGGAAACTTGCTGCCGTTGGTCTTGAAGGTCTTATTTAATCAATACAGTCATTTAAGTCAATAAATAAAGTCTATTTTGGCATGACTCATTTTCAACTAAGTTACTAAATTACATAAAGTTAACAATGTATCTATCAAAAAAAACACAGATTCATACACAAATATGATAATCCACCCACTCATTATACCTCATTCGACTCTTTAGAAGGGAGTGTGAACCTATCACATATTAAGAGGGAAAATAAACCTTTCCTATATTATCAGGGAATGTAAACCTTTCACATACTGACAGGGAATGTAAACCATTTTTTATATTAACAGGTTAAATAAACCATTTATCACAATTTACCAATGGTTTAGAAGGTTCTAGGCAAACTAATGACATTTAATTGATATGGATGAATAGTGTTAAATTGAGAAAGTCCATTAGTGTGTTTTTTTACCAAAAGGAGACAATTTTATCTTGACAATAATTTATAATTTATCTTAAGTCATGAAACTGCAACCAAGATTTTTATAGGCAACAAAAATGGAAGAAAAGGACAAAGATATAAGAGGATCCTTACCATGTGAAATAGTGGTAGGAAAAACCATCAAGCTTACAGAAATGGTGAAACCCTACTGCTCACTCACCCGTTCAAACTGGATGTTCAGAGTGGCCAAATGGCTCAGAATCACATGAAATAAACGTGTTAATCTGTTAACATGTGAAAAATGAGCACGTTGACAACATGTAGACAACACTTTAACAACATGCAACATGTTGTCAACATGTTAGAAATGTGTATTTTAACCGGATGTCTTTCCATACAAGAAAGAGACATGCCTGATGTGTGTCTTCTCCTGCTTTATATTGTAGAAATGCTTGCTATATTAACGCTGTCGCTGGTCATGTTGACAATTAGCAGCAGGCCAAAAAAAAAATCCCTCAGGCCACTGGGAAATCTCCCGGTGCTGATGACAGACAGTCCACTAGTGTGGTCTCCACAACGTCTTCTTGTTTGTAGTTTTGTTGGTCACTAACGCACAATTCAATAGGCTTCATGAATGGACCAATGAGAAAACACGTTGTACACCCCAAACTAGTTCAGAATTGACCAATCAGTGATTAAATAAGTGGGCAACAACACTACAAGCTGTGCAAAATAAAACCTCCAATTTGTACAAAATAGACATAAAAAGGGATAAAACAAGGCTGAAGCTAAGAAAGTTAAAAGGTCAGTTCAAATGGGGGAAACTCAGGGTCAGTTCGTGGCTGGGTGTGCTCAACTTCGTTTTCCTGCATGGGGCGGAGCCAAACACGTCAGGAACGGGTCTGCTGTTGGTCACAGGCTAGTCGGTTGTAGCCTCCTCACTGCTTGGGGCCTATAATAACTCCACTAAGTAGTGGTGGCTCTGCGCTGCCGGCTCCCCAGACTACGACCCAGCCGTGTGCCACACTCTTTCAGATATCAGCAGCCTCAGCACACCCACACACTGCACCCAGGAGACAAGCAGAAGACTCTTTAGACAACAGCAATTTATAAAACATTCCACCTAACAGACACTGCCAAAAGCCCACATAATTATATATACACCCAGGGAAGAAGACATTCAAAATCACAACCTGCACCCAGGGGACCAGCAGAAGACTCACTGAGCATAGTGTGTGGCTGGTTAAATAGCTTGCAGATGGAGGTCACGCCCAAGCACACCTGTCTGCCATCAGCCCATCCCCATGCAATTAACCCATGTGAAAAACCACACCCACCAAATGCACACTCACTCTAGGTGCTCACCCATCACACTACCACTGCACTCAAAATAGGCTAATACAGGTCTACCCCGTTACGTACTCATGGGAGCTGTAATGTCGTAGTGACACATGGCAGTTTGTTTATTATTTCAGATGCCTTTTGACAAGAATACAATTTTTCAACTTGGCCAGCCTTTGGCGGGTTGACATGTGTTGATGTCAAGCCCTGCACCAAAGTATTTTCAGAAATCAAACTTGCTTAGCCAGTCAGCTAGCCGAGCTAGCAGTGAAGAAAATCAGCGTCAAGCATATGATGTGGGCCATCACCTCTACAGCGTTTTGCTCAGTCCCTCTCCGTGAGTTTTTACTCCAGCTGATGCTGGGATTAGGACAAAATGGGCATAGCTGACATTTTGGCTCATGCAGCCTAACTCACTTCTGTGGTTTATCGGTGAAGTGTGTGGATTTGCAGACTGAAGTTTCATAGATTGAAATTATGCTCTTCTCCTATGAAACGTCTGTCTCCTTACGACAATGCATTATTAGGGGTCCAAGCCCGAAGTGGGCTGGGAACCCGCAAATGCAAGGCATCGCGGTGCCCAGTACCGCGATGCGGCTGGGAACCCTATTGGAATCGTTCTTGTTTTTATTATTAGGGGTCCGAGCCCGAGTGGTTCCCAGTACCAGCGGAGTCAGTCAGTTGTCAGGAAAGAAAGCAAAAGGTATACACAAATAGTTATTTAAAAGCGGCAGGCGAGCTAATGCTGAATGTAGCTAAATGCAGTCAATGTAGAGTTATTATGCAACCATGCATGAATTAGTTCAACCTCAAGCTGATAAAAAATACTACTGTAACGTTGCAGTGGGAGTTTCCAGCACTTTTTTTGAAACTCATGAGCGGATTTTGCACACTCAAGAGCAGGCATACGAGCACATACCAGGTTGCTATTTAAAAATGTAATCTTTATTTTAAGCTTGATTATTTGATTTGCAGTAAATCAGTTTACCTTTGACCAAAATACTCACTAGCTCTTTGAAACTAAATTTCAAGTTCTTACATTCCAGTCTGAAGTAATATTCATTTCTGTCATTAGGGCCAATGTTATTCAGGGTTGTTGTGCAGTCTTTTGCAGTCAGATTTCCTGTCAATTCTCCATTTATACAAGTTTGTTCAGTACTATCAAACACAATGCCATTTTTATTTTTCCATGTTGCTTTACATGTGTTATCTAAACAGTCTATGTTCTCTATCTTAAAAGAGCAGGGGATTGACATACAGGATCCATTCAGAACCTCTACTGACTGAGGATTAATCACCTCAAACACCTGTCACAGGGTGCCTGCAACATGAAAAACACATCTTGAAGAAGATAGTTTACAGTAGCGTAGCCATTTTACTGCCTTTTACACAATAAAATACATTAATATATATATAAATAAATTTTAATTAACCAAAATGATGACTGGAAGAATAACGAGTCACTGGGTATTTAAATGATCATGTTTTCTTTTGTACTTTTTGTTATTTTTATGTTCATTGGCTTCATTTATAAATAAAGTCCAAACTCACCTTGCAGCAGACAGACAATGAAAACAAGATTCAGAGCTGCAGCCATCTTTGTTTGTCAGGAGAGGCAGAAACTCAAGTTTAAAACAATCCGGAGATTACAGATGGAAAAGTTGACATGTTTGTTATTGATGTTAAGTCGCTAAAAGGTTCAAGTAAATCTCCTACAAATAAAAATGTATTGGTACCATACCACGACAGCTCTTGAAGACTGACGTGATGCACATCTAACTTGAAGGAGGAGGAGTGTATATGTTTTTTATTAGATTACAATAGATTTGATTTAACATTATTGCCATTGTACAGAGTATAGGTAAAAGCCAATGAAATGAAGTTAGCATCTAACCAGAAATGCAAAAAGATAGTAGTATTTGCAGAAATTTGCTTGTAAAAGTTAGCATGACAGTATATCTTACAGTATGTACAGTGTTATTGACAGTATGTGTAGTACTTATATATGTATAATATATCAGATATATCATACATGGAGGTTATAATGACTTACGTTTTCATCAGGTCTGTTGTGCAAATAGAAGATGCAAAGAGAAGTCAAGAAGTGCAGTTGCATTTTCAGAGAGTTCTTGAAATTATTTTGATACTGAGGAACTTGCACAAGTACAAGTAAGTCATTAATCTTTGTAGTAGATTTTCCACTGCTGGGCCAAGAATTTTTATTTAACATTTAACATGTAAAAACTTGTATTCACCTAGCAAGTTATGAAAACAACATATCAAACAGTAACTTTGCAATTTAACATCAAATCTCTTAATTGAGAAAAGAGAGAACATTTAAAAACTTGTAGACTGACACAATTAGTTCTTCTCATTTTTGTGTTATTTTTATTCAGAACAAGCTATTCTTTCACAAACACCCAAATGGAAGTCAAAATTCAGAACAGTCTTGCTGTTGAATGACTGCTGATGACGGTCTCTCTTGGTGTATCATATCACAAAACAGGCTGGGCATCTTTAAATCAAGTGGTGGCAAAACTTACTTCATTTCAAGTAGTCCAGTTTGCATTTGGCTTTACTTGCTCATTGTTTGCTGTCTAACAGACCCCACTGCTGTATGTATAAAAAAGTCAACAACTTAATTTCCTTATTATTTAAACACATTTGGAGTGGTAAGCACTTTCATTGCCACAAACTGGGCTTGCATATTTGTAAAAAGTGACAAAATAATAGGCATTATTATATGGGCTGTATGTATATTGTTATATGGGCTTTGTATGAGCAAATATATATTACATTTGTTTGGGGTTAATTAAACACCAGGTGGATCTAAATCATTAATGAGAAGTCAGTACTAAAAAAGGTGTAGTGCTACTCAAAACCAATCACAGATATTGAGAATATAAAATCTATTATATTTACACATGTTTTACAGCTGAGGTCTCAGTGAGCAGAACTGATGTATCATTTTCTGTATGCGTCATTATCTTCAGTGTTCTGTAGCTCCAAATCCCTACTTCAGATGGAGCGCTAACCTTTCTTATCTTCCTCCAATCAGATCTGTAGACTTCAGCAACTTCACAATCTTTGTCTGGAGCTCCATGGCTTTCTCTGTTTTCTCTCCTTTCTCCACATGTTCTCCTGCCACCTGGAGCCCCTTCAGCACAGACTGCAGGGCGTCTACATTCTTCACAGAGTCCATCTGGTCTCTGTCTACCTGGATCTCATCCACCCAGTCCAGGTAGGCCTGAAGTAATCCAAGGTCATCTACAAAATTTGCAATAATCCGCAGTCCCGGTCGACGTTGCTCCAGCTCCCTCAGCCTCCTCCTCCCCACCTCTCCAATATCATTCCCGACAATACTGATGAAGGAAAAAATAGTTATTACTTTGTATTGTGACATTAACTCCCACTAGATGGCAGCACTTGTATTTAATATGACATTGTGAAGACAGACAGTGGGTTTAATTCTTACGTCAGTGTCTTCAGAGATGTGTTTTTGCTGAGGCAGTTGACAATGTTTTCTGTTCCTCGCTCTGTGATGCCAGTGATGTCCAAATAGAGTTCCTCCACAGTGGTGTTGTGCTCCAGAGCGTTCCAGAGCTCCAAAACCCCCTCTGGACCCAGGTTATTGCCACACATACTGTACGCATGAGTTGAACAATTGTGTTGCAGTAAAATACATATGGTATAGTATCTAATGACTCATATCAAGGGCTTGCAGCCAAAGGGGTCAGGGCATGAGAATGACTATTGAATATGTCCACTCAAGCACTTTTATTTGGTAATGTATGCATTTTATGACCGTCTCACCCTTTTAGCTCTAAACCCTTACAGTATGTTTTGAAAGTGGTGTTGTGAGAGTTGTAATAAACAATCTTGCATGACTTACAACAGCTTTTTCACTTGGCACTCATTTGATTTCAGAACTGCAGATTCTAAAATAGCTGCTTGCCTATCCAGGCAGTTGTATCTCAAACTGAAAAAGAACAGGAAAACATTGGGGTGATCATGCTCAGCTCGTATGGGGGCTATAGTCTATTTCAGCATGCATTAGGTGTGAGGTGGAGCACACCCTGGAGAGGTTGTCTATCACAGAGTTAACATTCAGACAGACAAGCATGCAGACACAGGGAGAAGATGCATACTCGACAAAGATAAGCATTGGCCAGACAGAAAATCCAACCCAGCTTGTTTTATTGCCTAGTGTTCAAATGCCAATTCTTATCTATGACAGGTTAATGTAAAATGTATTACTTACTAGAGAGTTTCACAGCGATGTAGGATTGGCCCCAGTCTATTTAGTCCTCTGTTTCCAATGTTGGAGTAGCCTAAGTTGAGCTCTTTCAGATTGTGTGGAGAGAACTGCAGAACATAATGCATGGCTGCACAGTCCACAACACTCAGCTTCATTTTAAACAGGTTGAGTTTCTTGATCTCTGGTGCTGCCATGCTGGTGGCTTCCATCATGTGGAACTCCATCAGGCAGTGGAGAAGATTGAGGGCTGCCTGGTTCTCGAGCTTCCTGCCCTTAAACTGGTCTTGGAACCACAAGCCCAGCCTGGTGGGGATGCCATCCCCTTGCTCTGTGGGGGAAAAAACAAGGCCATCCAACTGACCTGCCAGCCGAGCTCGGAGCATTCCCATGAAAAAGCGTGTGAACATCTGGAGGCTCTCCAGCTTGTCCGTGTTGAGGGCTGTGTTTTGCAGGGGTGCAGCTGTGGAGGATGGTGGACATAACCCAAAGCACCAGAGGTCCAGAGCTTGGATTATGTCCTCCTGGCTGAAGAGGTTGATTGCACAGTAGAGGGCAGCCATATGCTCTTGAACAGTCAAGTGGAAGAAGGAAAACATCTCCACTGTTTCCTCTTTGAGAGGCTGGAGGATGTGACTGAGAAAGGTGCTCTGAAGATCAGCAGGTGCAACGCCGTAGTTCTCCAAATCTGCCCTGTCGAACATGATCTTTTTCTGTAGAAGGTTTTCATAAGCCAGTTTTCCCAAGTTTGTCAGTTGTTGCTTTGCTAGCGAGAGAACCTTAGCTCTAGGGGTGCTTCTCTCTGCACTCCCCTTTAGCGCATGGTGCTTGACTGCTGTAAACAGGTAACAGAAGTAAACCTCGCTGACAGTTCTGGGCGGGTTGAGCTCCAGAGACTTTGAGTCACCAACATCTTGATTCCCTGTAGAGAAGAACTCAGCCATAGCGGTACAGATGATGTAGCAATAAAGAGGGATGAACGACAGCACAAAAAGGTTGTCATTGTTCAAGATGTAATCATAGACTTTTTCAGCAACTTTACAATCTTTGTAGAACTTGGTGGTGTATTCCTTCACCTGGGCCTCCTCAAAGCCCAGCACCACACAACATCTCTGGAAGAAACCCTTGGGAGCTTCAGTAGAGGGTCTTGTTGTGAGAATGACTGATGCCTCTGGGAGAAGGCTTCCCTTGATTAAAGCCACCATCAGCTCTGACACTGGCACCTCCGAACCAATGTCAAGGTTTTTGTCAGGACTGTTCCAGTCCAAAGGGAATTTGAACTCATCTAATCCATCTAAGATGAAGAGCAAGGAACTTGGTGAGGTGAAAATATCAGGTAGAGCTGCCTTCAGGTACCGGAACCGTTCTCCAAGCAGCTCCAATAAGCTCAGCGGTGCTTCAATCAGATTAAGCTCTCTGAATCGCAAGTCAAAAATGCAGGTGAATTCACGCATGTTCTTCCCAATCGCCCACTCATAGACTAGTCTCTGTACTGCCACGCTCTTTCCGATACCAGCAATACCCTTCACTTTTATCCTTTTGGGGGGCTGTCCTGATGCTCCTCTGGGGCTCAATAGATGGCACGGCTGGATGCGCTGGCAAGCCTGATGGACATAGATGCGAGCTCGTCTACTTGCCAGGTCAAAGTACTCATGTTGGCTGGTGTCAACTAAGTCATCGTCTTCTGTCACAAATAGGTCAGTGTAGCGGATCTCAATGTGAGAAGCTGAGTTTGAAGCCACTCCCTCGCCCTCTGAGTAACACTTTAACTGCTCTGTGCGTTTCAGTAGGGTTGTTTTATGGGCAGAAATTGGAACTGCAATGGAAGACGGTAAGATTTAAGATATAGTCAACAAATTTGACTTAAATTGCTCTTTTTACTTAGTTTTGAAGATGAATATTTTAACTTATATTGTTCAGTTCACCTAAAATGTTGCCATACCTCGGATGTTGGCCAGCTTAACACTCCTGCTGGGTTTCAGCTCTTGTGTAGCTGCCAAATGAAGATCACATGAATACATTTTCAAACCATGTGATCAAGTAATATGAACAATTCAAGGAATTTTTATATCAAGAATGAAAACAAATCAGGAATAATTTTTTATGCTATAATATTCTAAAATCTTGTTTTATTTTTGATAAAATGATGAATCCATACCGTTAATGTCAGCAGTCAGGGTAAATCCCTTACTCTTTCCTTTGAACAGTTTGGCAAAGGGGCTTTAGGCTTCTTCTCTGTGGTAATCAAAGATTTCTATAGTAAATAACACATTTTATATACTAAATAGGCCATTACATGGTGTAATTTCAAGTTTATACATGTGCTTGAACAAATTTAGTTTCATGTGTTTTTTCTAACATAAGTAAAAACAAGACTACAACCATGCTACAGTACAGTATAGTGTTTACATCAGCATGTTAACATGCTCACAATGACAATACCAACATGCTTAGGAAGTATAATGTTTGCCATGTTGACCATCGTATCATTGTAACATGCTAAAATATGTTAATTAGGCTCTTGTCGTTCATTTTGCAGACATTTGGTTTGGTTACATTTTAAACAAACATTTTAACATTTTGACCAGATGTTGGTGCTAGATGAAAAGTCAGGGGTTTCATCAAAGTTGTTACAACAGCATTACACAGGGATCTATCCAACAATTGTTGTGACATTTCACTCAAAACAACAAATGTCAACCTGCTGTTGAGGCCAGAGAAAAAGGGGCTGGGATTGGGATTGCCAAAGTCAGTAAGATTCATCCCCTGATCAGTGGGTAAACTATAAGTTAAGCTGTCTTATACTTGCTGAGATATTTCAGTCTGAACCAACATCACAGTTAATTGTACCTGTTAATAATCTTCTCATCCATTGTTATGCAGTAAAACCTTATGTCTATAGTTCCAGTCCTTCAAGGTTTTAATAAAGAATATTATGTACTTTTCCTTTAACTTTAAATGCACCTGTGTATATAAATATTTACAGTACACAGTCATCAACAGTTTATTAAAGCAATATCACCTTTCACAGGTGTAGGCACTGGCGTACTGACAGCATCGTTCTTGCAGTGTGTCTCCACCCAGACCTGCAAATCCTTGCAGTAATAATCCTGCACGTCTCTCAGCACCTGCAGGAATTTTTGGCTTCTCTCCTCAGTGGCACACACGGTCTCTAGAGCCTGGGCCACGGCATTGGAAGGGGACCTCTCCAGCAGAGACAGGTATTGGGCAGATGAAAGCACCTCAGTATCACGCAGCCAACGCAGCAACGGTGCTGGGTGCTCACGGGTCCAGTTCAGCAGCAAGTCTCTCTGAGACCGTAGTAATTGCTGAGCTGAGTTCATGGCTTTAGAAAATACTCTTGGGAGGAATGCTGTAAATTAATGATTATTACTTATGAGCACAAATAGGTGTACCTTTGAACTCTGTGGGTTTTACACTTACATTCAGAAAACTACAGTATGAAAAAATGACTGGAATTCTGCACAAATACTACTATGCTCATTAATTGAAATTCATACCTTAAAGAAGTATTATATTGTTATGTTCCGAGTCACCTTCCCTCTCATCTGGTGCCATTGCAGTCATGAGTGTTAGCAGGAAAGCTGTTTGTGTTCTGTTAAGGTGCAGCAATTCAAACAACTTTTCAAAGGGTCCATAGTTCAAAGAGTTTGACTCTTTGTCTCCGCCTCTGATTTATCGGTTTTGTTTAATCATGCATTCCAATCCCCTCCAATGACATTGAAGAAAAATATCAAACAGTTATGTTTGTTCATTACAAATCATGATTTCAAAATTCAGTGCAAAGCTGAAAAATGAAGCTGACAATGATAACAGTCTTATCTTTTTATATATGTATATAAAGAGATTGACTAGCTGTCTGAACAGTTTCCTGTTGAAGTACCAAAGTTGTAGCATTCGCTTTTGCTTCCAACCTTTTACATTACTGTGATGACCTACATACATTGATGGACATGTATTGTCAACAGAACAGCTATTAATCAGTGTCAGGCCGAAAAGTTAATCATTAATCTGTTTTATTCAACTTTCCTTGGAACTCTTACCGCTATCATTTATATTTTGTCACACTGTTAGAGATTTGGTGAGGATTGCTTGTGTAGACAAAGGGAATCAGAAATGAACACATGAGGTGTTGGAGCCTTTGAGGAAATGGCCAACAGCATGAGAGTGACTCACCCGTTGTCATGTGTTGTCTCACAAATACTTGCTGAGGTCTTTCTTTCCCTAGCAAACAATTCCTAGTTCCACCACGTGGATGAGTATTTGAGTCTTTTGACATGTTTAAATAATTGTATAGTGGTACCATCACTGATTGTTAAATTACACTTTGAGCCATTAGTTCAATAGTGTGTTATGAGTGAAGGCAATAAGCATAAGATAATATTGAAGATACTAGAAGAGTAAGAGGAGGCATCGGCATCAAAGTGAAGTCATAGTACCAGGAGAACAATGAAACTCTAACTTCCCCCTCTTTGCTCCTCTGTTCATCCTTCCTTCTGTCTGTGCCGGCAGAGCAGGGTTGCCATCATGCATGTGGACACTGTCTTTCTTGTCTGTCCTCTGTTTTTTGGTGAGTAATTTAATCATTTATCATTTGTGAAAAATGCTTGCATGGATTGCAAGGTAATAACCTTGAAATCCATGCAAGAATCTGAAACTAAAGCTTTTTTCATTATTCAGTCATGAAACCTCATTAAATTCATTAAAAAGACTTATCTGATATCACAAGTTATTACCATATGACATTAATGTAAATTGTGATTATTTATCTGTGAATGTCTCCTACACAATATACTGTACTGGTAGATTACACTCAGAAAAGGATGATTTCTATTGCTTTAACAATGATGTGCTTATTTATTTTCTTTATAGAATTGATGACAATGTGACATAAGGTTTCCTGCTATAATCAAGATAATTTTGATTTTGATATTTACAACATAATATCTGAGTAAAAAAACGAAGTGTAGTAGACTTTCCAGAGCCAAAAGTGCAGTTGCCCTCTTCCCTTTTCTAAATATACAACTGTTGCGAAATGTTTCTGGGTCAAATAATGTATTTGCAGACAGTTCAGTGGAATATAGCGGTCCTAACTAACCTCATATTAGTTCCAATGTATTCTTTATGATGAACTTTCTAGAAGATCTCAGGGAATTAACTCCGCTCCCTCTGTGATTGGATGTGAGAGCTTTGTGTATGGAACGGAAACTTTTTGATTGGCCATGGAAATTGTCTTTGACTTCATAGAGGTCAAGTTAAAAACTGAATAGATCAAGCAAATAAAACATGAACATCACAATTTATGTGGCTGGATAGGCTGATTAAAAAAATTAACAAAAGTGCTTTCTCCCATGACTTAAACCTGAAGCTAGAGTTACATCAGATCCGCTGTATTGGTTAATGATTTTCTGTTCCCTATCACAGCAGCAGCCTTGTGGAGGGGAGTCCAGACTGTCTCTCCTGTGCCCTCAGTCCCTGAGCGTGTCCAAGCACTCGTGGGCTCCTGTGTGGTGATTCCCTGCTCTTTCACTCCTCTATCTCCTCGTCCTCCCAAGGGGAGGAAGGAGAAGGTCGATGTCCGGCTGAGGTTCAGAGGTGGTGGCCGCTTCTTCCCTCTCCACAGCACCGCTTTTAACAGCGAGGACAGAGATCAAGTGAGCAGGGATTTCCAAGGCCGGACATCCCTCTTTGGGCGAATTGCAGATGGAGACTGCTCAGTGAAGATCGAAAGGATCAGCCAGGATGACTCACAGGTGTTTGAGATCGCTCTAAAGAGAGGTGATGACTTACTTTGGGGGAGGCCAAGGAGCTTCAATCTGGATGTTGTGGGTGAGTCACTGTACTGCCTCTTCCTTCTCATATAAAAGGATTTGTTATTTTGCTTATTTAACAACCAGATAATGTAAGTGTATCCAAAAAATCATTATTATGTAAAAATACATGATCATATATGCAGAAAATACAGTATATTTATGTAAACATACAGAGGAGAATCTCTGACACATGACAAATTGCAATCAAAAGCCTAAAACCCTAAAAGCTCAGATTCCTGTGAGTCATTTGTATTGCATAATGAAGTGCAAAGTGCAGAAATATATGATGTGTAGAATATTTCTGCCCTTTAAAGAATGAGAATAAAAAGAATAAAAAACTCATTTGAAGAAACAGTCAATAATCACTACGCAATGTGGAATCATCCACCTTAAATAAACCACTTTAAATACTATGACACATGGGCTAATCAATTAAATAGTTCCTATACTTGTTTAAGTATGGAAATCTGAGACACATAATCCACAGTATTGGCCTTTGTAGGAGATTCTGCACTGTGCATTTGCCTTAAACGAAATACACAGCAGTAATAAAACACACTGGTGATTGAGTTTCTCCTCACTGACAGACACTCCCGAGGCTCCTGTCATCAGCGGCATGTTGTCAGCCACAGAGGGACAGCTGGTCACCCTGAACTGCTCCGTCAGCTATCACTGTCCCTCCAGACCTCCTGACCTGCGGTGGAGCTGGGTTAGAGGACCCAAGCTGAACAGCACTGAGCCTGGGGAGGTTCAGACACTCCACCCAGGCTCCACAAGTGGATGTTACTGGCCCCTCTGTCCTTTACTGTGTCGCACAAGGTGAAACCTAGACTCAGGTGTGAAGTTAGCTACCCAGGAGCCAAAAAACTGGCCACTTCAAAGGATCTGCATGTGACATGTAAGCATAGTTTTGAATACTATATTTATGTTTCTTGGTTCGGTTTACACTATAGCCTTTTATCTTTTTTTCTTTTTCCATACTTTATAGTTCCACCAAAAGATGTAATGGTTCAGGTCCAGTCCTTGACAGTGCATGAGGGGGGCACTGCCTTGTTGGTCTGTTCATGTAAAGCTGACCCGCCGGCGTCTGAGTACCGCTGGTCCTACAGTCAACATGGCCGCACAGTGCACCTCCACCAGCGCACACACACAGTCCGGGTGTTCAACGTGACACGAGACATGAAGGTCCGCTGCTCAGCACATAACCTGATTGGTCGAGGAGAGTCCAGGCCCACGCTGCTGAACATACAATGTAATCCTACTTACTGTAGGACACAGATGTGACAACAAGCCATAACTGTAAATGTTTGGTTTTCAAGGATGTACAAGAGCAACAGTAACACCAGGCTAAAAAGCAGAGTTCCGCTGTTTTTTTTCTAGCTGGTCGGGTGTGCTCAGAAGTGTTCTCTGCTGCACCTGTAACCACACCCAACAGTGATGCCACAGTGTACTGGCCACACTCTGGAGTACACTTTGACATACCCGCTGCAAGGTGTGAGAGGTGAAATCATTAGAGGTTAGCTGGTGATGAGTTGTCTTTTAAGATGTTACAAGGGAGTAAAATGTTTCCAGATTTTCAATTTGAATGTAGCTAAAAGTCACTGGAGAAGGGCTTCAAAAGAAATGTTTGATTTGACAAAAATAATGGGCATTGTAAAGATTGGAAAAGATTAATGTGATTATAATATCAAAATGAAAGGTTTGACATTTTGGGAAATACACTTATTCACTTTCTTGCCGAGATTAGATGAGAAGATTGATACCACTCTCGTGTCTGTATGGTAACCTTTTGTTAATTTTGGACTGAGCCAAGCTAGCTGTTTTGCACTGTTTCAAGCCTTTGGCGTAATATTTAGCTGAAAGACATAAGAGTGGCATCGATCCTTTCATCCTACTCTCAGCAAGAAAGGGAATAAGCATTTTTCCCAAAATGTCAAACTTTTACACGTATCATATAAAAATAATCTTTTTTTGCACATTACTCTCTCAAAGGGCTTTACAATCTATATAATATTAAACACTTTTTATTGTTAGACTCTGAATTTTGTACATTTTAAATCTCCATATACAAAAAAACTAGTACTGAGTAAACACAATATTGTGGAATAAAGTAACAACATTACATAAATAAATGGAAATGTGAAAAGAACATGAAGAATATCAAGTAAACATTAAGTGCAATAAGTTCAATTAGCTTTTTCTGTCTTACAGATAAACCAGTCATCCTCCGGCTCTCCTCCACCTGTGTTACGGAGGATTTGGAGGTGTTGTGTCACTGTTCAGTCGACTCCAACCCCAAACCAGCAGTCACCTGGAGTGTGAATGGGACTGTTCCACCTCATGATTACAACGTGTCGGTAACAGCCGAGTCTGACAAGCTAACAGCTACTCTGAGCGGTCACATGGACAAACCACAGACTGTGATCTGCTTTGCTTTCAATGCACTGGGAAATGACTCCCTGATGTTGCTGCAAGGAGGAAAAGGTGTGTTCAAAGCACTGTTTTTCCACATTAAAAAAACAGTAGGGCTGGCGCTGAAACATCTGTGCAACACGCCTGCAGCTTGAAAACATAAGTAGAAGGGAATAAGCTGAAGAATGAATTAGGAAATGATGCAAATAAAACCTTATGTTGTTGTACCCTTACTATGAGTACATCTTTTTCATTGTTGCAGTCCAACCCAATTTCTTCATATTGCAATATGTTATATTTTAAAAAGCTTTTACAGAGCTTATTATGGAATATCTATGTGAAGCCTATACATCCAGCTTGAGTGACAAACAATGGAAGGCAAAGAGTTCAACTGTAATGCATATTATTCCACCTGTACCAGGGATTACATTATAGTTTTACATAATATTCTGATCCATTGCTGTTCTTTTTGTCCAAAATACAGAGACAGCACCTGTGTTGTGGTTGGTGATACCCACTGTGGCCATCTGCCTGGTGATATTCCTTATATCGCTTTTTTTCTACTGCTGCCGAAAGAGAGCTGGAAAGTATGTGAAACAAATCAGCCCTTTAAGCGTTCACTTATATCTGTCACACTTGCTTATTATGAGGTTCACGCACCTGTTCTGCTCTTCTCAGACATGTCCTGAGTAGACGCCCAGCTGTGTACCCTGAAGGATTGGGAATTTATCAGGACCAGATGCCCCTCTACATTAACTGCACAGAAGTGACACATATCTACACCAACGGCAGCTACCAACTTGTATACCAGAACTGCACACCTCTCTTTGTCCATACTAAGCAGGTATTTATGGTATATATTATGTCTTTGGCAACAGAGGGCATTGCATAGACAAAAATCTCTAAATGTCAAATGTCCCTAATTCCCAATTTTGAGAATTAGCTACATCTGTCTCTTTTTTTAGATCCGTCCAATGGGCAGAAGAGGTGGGGAGAGAAGAAGAGGAGGAGAAGGTGGCGGTAGAGACAGACGAGTGGGTTTGGGAGTCAGAGGCACAACAGAGGTGCAGGGTACTGCTGTAGCTGACGCAGAGACGGCCATCTACTTGGAGATCCTCTGAGCTCACTGTGGAGAAGTCACATGATTCTTCTGCTCCGTTAAACGCACATTAAACTTCAGATTGATTCTCATACCAATGTTAATGCACAGCTTATGTAGCTTTCAGTGATTGTATATATTGTAAATAAATATGTGTATGTGATCTCTTGAATAGTCACTGGTGCTCTGTCTCTCTCATAATCTGAACAATTTTAACAATTTATTTCTCTTTGAGTGTTGACCTGTGACCTACAACTGTGCTCTTTTTCTGAAAAAAAGATGAAAAGGTTTTATAAAAGAGGTTTTTCATCATTTAATCTTGTGTGTATTCCACAACGCACACAAGCGCAGACTCTCAGATTTGATTTGGTCGTACCAGTCAGCTGCTCCAATTGCATTTGTAAAAGCGGCTGCTGCATGCCTAATACAAGTGATCCTCAGGCAGTGTTTAAGGTTCCTCTGGAGGGAGAAAGATTTCAGCTCAAACCATGATGCAATTTGCAAAGTTTTACACAGTGCTCATGAGAGAATAAATCTTGTTATAGCGGGCAGGTCATTGCAGGAAGAGCACAGGTGTGATTGATAACATTAATTAATTGATAACATTCTGTTCCATTAAGCATTCCAGTACATTTTGTCAGTGTCAAGGTATCACAAAAGGGCTCTGAAACTGTAACACCATTAACACAGAATTAAAAAATAATAATGAGAACAAAAAAGAAAAGAAATACAGCGCATCCACCCAAAAATAGTTAAATAGTTGTCTTTTTAATGTTGAGGAAAGTAGACGTTTGGAAGAAGTCAGTTTTGTGTGCACATACAGTATCACATCAAAGCACATGGAGCACTTTTTATGTACACTGGCCGAGGGTTTCTATACAGCTTTCTTATTTGGCTTATTGCAATAATGCCTGAACCAAAACTGAAAACAAATAAGAGTAATGACTTTTTTATTTACAATTCTGGTAATCCATTTTAACCATGTCTTTAAACGCCTTGGTATTCCAATTGATTTTCTATTATAAAACAAATAGGTCTCACGTCCAGGATTGACAGTATACCTCCTGAAGGATTGGTGGCGATACAACTCTAGTGATGCGGTTATTTAATTGCAGAAGAAGACAAGAAAGCTTTCATTGGATGGAAACGTGCTTAGTCGGAAATTGCGTCATAGCACGACACACGTCAGGCTTTTGGTGGGAATATGAGTTCGCTTCTACGCACATTTAACTTAAAATTAAAAGCTTAATTATGTGTTATGTGATATTTCATGCAATATCAAATTAAGCGGCTATGTGTCAAGTATATAACAGTTTCAAAGATTCATGCGTAACAGCCGTTAAGGTGTATTAAAATTACCAGGCTAATCAGGAAAAGTTCATACTGCCTATTGTTTGCTAGCATGCTATCACGTTAGCCAGCAGTCTGTCTGACGCTGACTAACAACAAAGTAGATTTACTTTACTTTTCGAGGCTGAATTTACTGCTACCATAAGGACACTTTGTGTAGTTTATGTTTTATTAATCGGCTACGGTAGCGCATAGTGGCAAGGCAAGCGCCCGGATGGTTTATTTTCTTCACACTGGCTAATTAATCTGACTTTAACCTGTGAAAATCAACAACAACATGCCAGAAATCAAGCTCAAGCACGTCGTGTCTTGCAGCACCGAGGACACTGTAAGTTCATTTGTCACTTTGCATTTGTAAAATGTTTATAAAGTCATGTTCTCCTCTCCTTCATCTCTTGACAGCATGCAAGATGTCAGATGTAGATGTATATTTTTCAAGCATTTAGCCAAATGTGAACCTTCCTTCTAATCACTTGCTGTCGTAATGCAAACAGACTCACAAGGCAGACAACCTGCTGAGCTCTGACACCTACAGAAAATGGAAAGCAGCAAGACCCGGGGAGAAGCAGACATCAGTCATTCTGCAGGTAGGCAGGTGCCCCCCGCACCCCCGGTTTAATCTGTTGTTGTTATCCAAATGATTCAGTCATGCCTTCTTTTCCTTGAGAATTAATTTGCAAACATAACGTATTTTTGTGGTTTACCAACAATTTCAAATGTTGACTTCCACTCCCACTTCTCTTTGTTGATATATTTGTGTCCTTGTGGGAAACCCCTCAGTCTGCATACCTTCCTCATCTTACATAGAAATCTGGCTATGATTCCTTTTTTTGACCACAGATTATCTTGGAAACCGTTGCAGTTCTCTTTATTGTTTAGGGATTTGGCAGACGTCAGTTGCCCGTCTCCGGCTCATTCAAAATGGTATTACTGCAAGGCTTTTAATGAAGTCTGTGAGACAACAACATCTAAGATTTTACAGAATATGCTTAAGGCACTTTAGAATAGTTTGTTGGTTACATTTTAGATGTTAGACCTCTGTCTGATGGTCGTTTGTATAACCAACTCATTTCTGCTCTTCAGCTTTTAAAGAATACAAAAGCAATATCACTCTAAATCTTAATTTAAAAACTATTCTACACAGGATTTGCAACTTCACTACATTGTATTTTATCCTTTTATCCTAACTGTAAAGCAAGAGAGTTTATATTGCTAAGTATTGTATCAGTAAGGAGCAGTTATTCTGTGCCTATGTGTATTTCCTTGGCATAAACATGTTAAAACGAGACTTGTAAAATACTATTACTTATTTTGACTTTGGTGTTTCTTGTGAAAGCTCTGTTAACCTGTGCTGGTTTACTTTTCTCTCAGTTTGAGAAGGAGGAGCAGGTGCACAGCATTGATATTGGAAATGAAGGGTCAGCTTTCATTGAGGTGTTGGTGGGGAACTCTTCAGCTGTCAGAGACCAGGACTATGAGGTATTCTCACAAACCAAACCAAGTTTAAAGTATTTTAAGACCTAGTTATCGTAATTGGTAATTAAATCATAAATATTGGGGTTCATATTTTTTCACGTCAATCTTTCTCTCCCGGCTTTAGGTTCTTTTGGTTACGTCTTCCTTCATGTCCCCCACGGAGAGCCGTAACGGCACCAACATGAGCCGGGTGCGTTTCTTTGGGCCCCACCAGCTGCAGAAGAGCACAGCACAGGAGAAGTGGGACAGAGTGAAAATTGTGTGTAGCCAACCATACAGCAAGGTAAGGGTCCAGTCATGTAAAATAGAAAACACTGCACATGTTGTGCAATCTAATATATCCATCTCACTCTTCAGTCGACAGAATCCAAAAGTAAAACATGTGCGTGTAGAAATATTTTCACACACTGTCACCATATAGTAGCAGCAGGATTTGCTTTACACACATGGCACAATAAGGATCTACTTGTACTGAAGCTGCAACAGTAGATGCTGATGTTGTGTTTAGTAAATTAACAGACAGCATATATATTTATTGCCACTTGTGAAATAAAATGTAAGGTGATTTTGTGTGTTTACTTTGTAGAACATAGCATACGGACTGGCCTTTGTTAAGTTTCATTCCCCGCCTGACAAAAATGATCCTCCTTCAGCAACCCCTCCAGTAAGTGCCATGTCTTGTTCTCAGAACTGTACGGTGCCTATATATTTTGTTTGTCTTTAAATCTTTTCACTTGAGGCCATGAGAACCAGGTGTTTCTGGCTCTGGAGCTGAGGAGTTGGATCTGTGGTTGCGAGTCACCTGTTCCTGCTCGACACCCTCTGCTGCAATTATTGTTACTAGTCCTATCGTTATTATTGTTATTAGTATCATTAACATTACACTTATTGTCATAAACAGTACTATAAATATCTGTACTAGTATTAATTAAGTCTATAGCAACATTACCTTTACTGTCTGTACCTCTGTGTGTATATTGTGTAGGCTGCTTCCCTCCCCTCTCTCACCTCCCCCCTCCCTCTCTCTGTCCCCCAACCGGTCAAGGCAGATGGCCGCCCACCCTGAGCCATTAAGATAAAATGAACTTCACTCAGTCCCATCATGTTCTCATTTGGCATTAAACTTCTCTTTCTTCTCTCCTCTCAGAAACTGACAAAGCTGGGACAGTTCAAGGTGAAGGAGGAGTCTCCTTCATCCGGGCCCAGCCTTCAGCCCGGCAGTCTCTTCTTCAATCGGGACAATGCAACAAAGTCCAGTACTCACTCAAGGGTAGATTCATTAATTCAAATTTACCAGCTACTGAAGACCAATTATATTATTTCATGTTGTTGTAATATGTTTATGTACAGCTACTTTGTTCTCTCACCAGCCATCTGCACTTTTCTCTTTTTAGTGTCTCCTCAGAGTCAGAAGCTAAGTTATGCTGCTGCTGCCCTGCAGGCTGGTGGCAGCTCCCACTCGACAGGCCAAGCTTCCTCCGCCAGCTCTGCCTCACCTCAGGTATTAAACATCGTCATCATTTTCTTCTTTGAAGGATAGCCATCAAACCGCTTTTCCTCTATGAGCATTTGTTTTGGGCTTTGCTGAGACAACAGGAAAGCTGAGAGGTCCGTAGAGAAGAGGAAACTGAGGCAATAAAGCTTGTTGTAGTATGGGATCTATAAGGAGTTTTAACTACCACATCATGTCTGGGAAATTTATTTAATTTGATTTAGAACCAAATAGTATTTGACCTAATAAATGTAGTCAAATCAGATCAGAAAATAAACTTTAATAAAGTTGTTTGTTTTTGTCTTTACTCCCCTTTCTTCACATTAGCATCACAGTTTTTGACATCAGCTCAATTGAAACTTTCAAATAATAGTCTCACTATCAGTATTTACTTCTGTAATTGTTTCTAGAGTAATGGATTTCTTTTAGTAAACCAATTGTGTGACATATTGAACAGCTCTTTTGCCCAAAACAGTCAGTTGTTGCACACAGTGTTTTACACAGGTTGAAAATAGATTTGTTTATACATTTTCATGAAGGGTTTTCTGTACTCACTTCACCACAAACTAAAAATCCCAGGATCTATATGAAAAATGCATTTATACATGTCTGCATAAAAAAGGGTCATTGAATGGAAATGTTACATATGCAGTGGCTCAATTGGAGCTTTCATCAACTTGACAGCTTGAAATGTTACATTGCCTGGTTCAGATAAAAATGCGTCACTGCACTTCTGCTCACATGGGGGGAATAACAATATTAGCCGCGAGTCGCTTAGACTTTGGAAAGAAATACATTAACATGAAAATATCTGTTTGGGTGTGCTGCACAAATACATGTCGTCTAGTAGTTTAAAAAGATATCCCAATGATTGCAGTTCTAGTTCCAATTTTCTGCTGTAATTGTTTCTCAACCTTTTTCTAATGTCAATAACCTACATATTTGCAGAATCATAGTTTTTGCATTCTGAAAGGACATTTTAATCCAGGTGGCTCAACCCTAACAAATAGAAAATATTGCTTGTTACACTTGAGTAAGATTGATTATATGTGCAATTTGTTTTGTGAAATTACCTTCTGTCATTAAATGAAATGCGCCTGACATACAGGGGCACATTTTTTTTTTTTATTCTGAGAAGTTTTAATAATTACTTACATGAATTGTTTCCCATTAGCCACCAGCGAAAAGAAAATTTGAGTTTAGCAAAGAGCGACAGTCTGCCTCTGGCCCCCCACCCTCCAAGAAATTAAGCCCAGCCGTCTCACCTGAGAACAAAGCTGCCACTCCGAAACACAAGCCCAGCACAGCAAGTCCCAGCACTGCAAGAGGTAACACTTTGTCGGAAGCTTGGCATTCCAATTTTTTTTTTTAACATGGAAAACTTCCTTGACTTTATCAATTGTCTCCTCAGCTTCCCCAGCACAGAAGTCTGTTGACAAGAAGCGGGAGAGCCAGTCCAAACCCGAACCTAAACCCAAACATCAGAAAGCTAAATCCCAGAGCATGCAGCAGGTCCCATTGAACCGGATCATGGAGGGGGTGGTGTTTGTCCTCAGCGGCTTCCAAAACCCGTTCAGAGGGGAGCTTAGGGAAAAGGCTCTGGACATGGGAGCCAAATACCGACCAGACTGGACACCTGACTGCACACACCTCATGTAAGTATCAAGCAGGAGGCAGTGAGTAGTATAAGTATGTGAAAATAGTGCACTAAAGCTGTGTTTAGTGCGTGACAGCATAAATTGTATATTTTCAATTATAACATATATTTCAAATGAACAGTAGAGTTTGTTTAAAATACCTGTAGTAGTTAAGAAGTCCACACACCATAGTCTGATGGACTTGATTGTGTTTAGATGCATGTAAAAAATTTAATTTTATTGACAGTGTTGTTGATTCTGTGTACTTCATTCTTTATTTTGTTTTTTGACGTTTTTCCCAGAAAAACACATCAACTTCAGCAAAATGTGATTTTTATATGTCCCACCTAATAGAAATGTATTTGCTGTGAAGGACAATGCAGTTTACAATAAGTCATCTGGTGGCAAGGACAACTCAGAAATATGCCTCCATAAAGGGAAAGTGAAGAGATAAATGGGGAGCAAATGCAAAAGAGATGCAGATAAGCCAAAAGATCAAAACATGGAGAATTTGCAGAATGTTGGCAGACGATAAGATTAAAGACAGATTAACAGAATGTGAATGATATCATAGTAGATTAAACTGATTCCTTCTCAGTTGTACGTAACATAACATAAAACATAATCCCAAATTTCCTTGCTGAAATTTGCCCATTGTGGTAACATGGCTGAAGTATAATGGAGTTTAAGTTGTGGGACCTCTATATAATATAGATGATAATAGAAAATCATTTTTATAAATGGCTAAATCAGCTTTCTTTCATATAGTGCAAAATTGCTTTTCAAGTGATGCTCTCTTAATTGCATCACTTTTTTAAAAATCTGTGGTTAATTTTTCTAAACAGATTACAGGATTGTGTAACAGCCCTGTGCACTCTCAGTAATTCAGTTTGATTGCATCTTGTTTTCTCCTGTCAGAGCAGACTATTACCCTTGTCAGCTTCTCTTTAATGACCATATTTGTGTCTATTTGCGTCTCTTTTGGCCCATCAATCTCCAGCTGTGCCTTCGCTAATACCCCCAAGTACAGCCAGGTGAAATCAGCGGGGGGCATCATCGTACGTAAGGAATGGGTAATGGACTGTCATAAGAGGAAACAGAAGATCTCCTATAAACGGTAAGAGAGACTGAACTATAAAACAAGCAAGTAAAAACAGATGGTTTTATACTGATAATGGAAAGGTCAAACTGTAATGCTGTGTGTGGAAATTCAGGCCTGTAGAAAGGCCTGGGCTCAAGCTTGGCCTCAGGAACAGCTGGATGGGATTCAGTGTAAAGGACACTTACGCAGGGTAACAGCCTGGGTTTAGTGTGGAGCATGTGTCCAGTGTATTAATCCACATCTGATTAAATACTTTCTCTTAAGCCACATCTGTACCTCTATATAGTAAAGTACGGGACCAGCGCTCACCTTGAAGTATCCAGAAATACACCCCTCACAGCAGTGATGCCCACGCGCTACAAAGAACATTGCAACCTTGAGCAGCTGATCCCTGCTGTGATCACAAATTCAACCCAGCCAGTTTCGCAGCTCTCTAATTATATGCTTCATTACAGGGGGAGCTTTTGCAACATCAAGGTCTTCTGTCATCGCTCCACATGAATCTGTGCCTACTGAATAATGTAGAGCAGAATACTCATCTTGTGCAAAGGAAGGTCCAGATTTACTGGAATAGTACTAAACTTGTTTCCAAACAGGCTACCACACTGCTAGATTGTCCAAGGTTACTGCACTCGTAAGTCTCAGGCTTCTGCTGTGTTCAGACAATGTAAATGTAGGGTCAGCAATAGGTAGTAGAACTCACATTATCTGTCAAAATATGAAAGTTGCCCGTCGCGGTTTTGTAGTGCCCAAAGTGACATCATTAGATTTGCTATAATGCCAAGAAAAACAACATATTCTCACATTTGAGAAAATGGTTCCATCAAATGGCATTTTAGCTAGAAAAAACGACTTGCAGGATTAATCGATTAGCAAAATACATGCTGATTAATGCTCTTTCAGTTGACTAATCTATTAAGTGACTAGTCTTTGCAGCTCTAAGACGCATAGAGCGCCTTTTGACTAGTCAAATAGAGGTAGAGACAACGACAGGCCATAGCATACTATGCTAACAGGCAGAGAGGCGGTGCTGGAGGCTTCTAAGACCCAAATGTAAAAGAGATGCAGTCCATCACTATTTTGTTCTGTGCATTTAAAAATTATTTTAACTGTTTATACCCTAAAGAAATCATAATGCGTATGGAAAAAATTAATGAAGAGACAAAAGCAATATGCGGCATTCAAATAATTTCCAGTCAACTTTACTAATTGTCAACCCTCTTTTGTTTGTGTTTTCACTATTTGTTAGGTCTGATAAAATCCAAGGCAAGGTGTGAGGTAATTTAACTCTTTCAGCTTTAATAGAAAGTAGATAGATAATATAAGTACTTAAGGAAAGTTTGATGGATACTGTGATAATTCTGCCTTCATCTGTCTGATCAATGTAACTTTGTTTAAGCAGGACTGGGCCATTGAAGTTACAGTTGCAATACTCAATGCTGGGCATGTGATAGGGAGCTTTAAAGTTGTTTTTTCTTCTTACCGTGGCGATTGGAGAGTAATTACAGGCTGCTTATCTTGAAGATGAATGACTATGTATCTTCTGTGTATCTTCATTCAAATTTCTCATCAGCTTTATAATTTATTCGATATCACACAGCTGCTACCTATTATGTATGGCCCAAATGTGCCAATGCATAGTTTACCTGCTTGTAGCTGTCCTTTTAATTGCTACTAGCTCACATGCTGTATGTAAATCATTTTAATGGACTAGAACTGATTTTCTTGTTAATAAGAAGGCTTGGTTAAATTAAAAATACATGACAGCATTCAGTGACAGATTGACAGAATATTAATGGGCAACTTTTATAATGGATGCAATCTTTAATGATTTTTAGTGCAAAATACCAAACATTTGCTTATTCCACCTTCTGAAATGTGAGGATTTGCTGCTTAACTTTTTGGTCTCATTATCAGAATCAGAATCGGGTTTATTGCCAGGTACATTTTCACATACGAGGAATTTGCCTTGGTATGAATTGGTGCTTACAGTACACATAACATAAATAGTAATATAAATATAAAAAGTAAGGAGGTCAGAAAAAATTTACAAGTATACAAAAATATAAAAACATACAATACTACTATAATACAACGGCAACATGAGCATAAAGCACAGTTGAGCGTTGTTGTAAAGTGTGGGGTCAGGAGAGTGTATGAGTGTGTGTGAGTTTGGGGAGGGGGGCATGAGAGTCACTGACAGTGGGGACCCGAGCCTTGTTGAGGAAGCCCACTGCCATCAGAAAGAAACTGTTCTTGTGGCGAGAGGTTTTGGTCCTGATGGACCGCAGCCTCCTGCCAGAGGGGAGAGTCTGAAACAGTTTGTGTCCAGGGTGGGAGGGGTCAGCTGCAATCTTTCCTGCATGCCTCAGAGTCCTGGAGGCATACAGGTCCTGAAGAGAAGAAAGATTGCAGCCAATCACCTTCTCTGCAGAGCAAATGATGCGCTGCAGCTTGCCCTTATCACAGATTGGCTCCGCAGAGCCCTTGTCCCTGGCAGTGGCAGCAGCGTACCAGATGGTGATGGAGGAGGTGAGGATGGACTCAATGATGGCGGTGTAGAAGTGCACCATCATTGTCTTTGGCAGGCTGAACTTCTTCAGCTGCCGCAGGAAATACATCCTCTGCTGGGCCTTCTTGATGATGGAGGTGGTGTTCAGCTCCCACTTGAGGTCCTGGGAGATGATGGTGCCCAGGAAGTGGAAGGAGTCCACAGTGGTGACTGGAGAGTCACACAGGATGATGGGGGAGGGTGGGGCTGTGCTCTTTCTGAAGTCCATGACCATCTCCACTGTCTTCAGAGCGTTGAGCTCCAGACTGTTCTGGCTGCACCAGGTCACCAGATTGTCGATCTCCCACCTGTACGCAGACTCATCCCCGCCTGAGATGAGCCCAATGAGGGTGGTGTCATCCGCAAACTTCAGGAGCTTGACAGACTGGTGACTGGAGGTGCAGGTGTTGGTGTACAGGGAGAAGAGAAGGGGGGAAAGAACGCAGCCCTGAGGGGAACCGATGCTCAGGGTCCTGGAGTCAGAGACATGTTTTCCCAGCTTAACGTGCTGCTTCCTGTCCGTCAGGAAGTCAGTGATTAACTAACTATGGTGAGTTAATAGAATATATTTGCGTTTGGGACTGTTTGTTGGACAAAACAAGCAATTAAAATTTGTCACCAGGGAGGCCATCTTTTTTAAATTTTATTTCATAGACTAAATGAACGAGTAATCAAAAAAGTAATTAGCAACAATGGAAAAAAATTTCAAGCCACAGCCCTAGTTACAAGAACACAACAAGAACAGTCAGACCTGCTATTAGTATACCTTCTTTTGGTTTGAATTTGTTTTTTTTTATTTTGATGTGACTGGCATTTCAAAGAAATAATTGGCATTCAGTTAACTCCAGTAATTAAATCAATCCAGTTAATAAATCAGCTGATTATGGCGCACAGAAATACATTCTGCTCACGTAAGTCTTCAAATCCAGAAATTAAAGCGGTCAAGGTTACATTTTGATGCGTTTATTCTCAACAGCCACAGTGTGCATATGAGCCATACTAAGAGAGAGAGTAATGTGGACAGCTTTTTAAATTAATACTGCTGAAGGGCGATGGCACACAACCACACTGTGGGTTTAAAAATCAGATTCTCAAAAAAAAGTGCATTTAAATGAGTAGCTCACTGTGTCGTCATTCTCCCTCATGCTCGCTTTTCTCAGTCAGTTTCTGATTGTGCCAAAGATCCCCCTCCCTCTCTTGTCAGAATAATCCATTCCCCTGCCCAGCACCGCTATTGTGCAGCGCGTGGAGTGTGCAGCTTTGATGATGTATCCTTTATTTAAAAACTGCATCTGCTATGGGTAATTAAAGGGACCACTTACTTTGATGATGACAAGTACCCAAACAAATACGCACACTCACACTCTCAAACTGTTGCTCCAACATGCACACAAACACTTTGTCACTAAGCATCTGGGGGCAAATGCACACCTTCATTCAGCTCCTGCCAGGCATATGTACTGTGTAGTGTATATATTAGAGAAATTGTGACGTAAGCTAAGCACCCCAGAATAGCATATCCAACCAATCATTATCCAATCAGTGAGGATCCAGAGACGGAATGAAATCAGAAAACACTGAAGCAGTACACAATGGATCTGAATTAGTAACCACATTTCTTATTATTAAAATCGAGACTCCGTTGCATTATAACAGCAGAGTAGTTTGTGTGCCGGAGCCAAAATATCAGTACAATCACACCATGATTAACCTACGGCACATAGACATAATCACATACAAAAACACATCACCCAAAAGTTCTTGTCTGCCAATAATCACTGCATCCCGAAGTGTACAGCGTAAAGTGTACACTTAATGTTGCAATGTAAACAAAAAATATTTTTCCATTTAATCCATAAAATAGTGAGAAATGTCTTACCTGGTTTTCCAGAGCCCAGTGTTAATGTCTTGTTTTATCTGGCCAACAGTTGAAAACCAATTTACAATGATGTAAACAGAGAAAGCACCAAATCCCCCCCATTGGAGAAGTTGGCACCAACAGATGTTTGACATTTTTGCTCAAGAACTGATTTAAAAACCAAACAAATGTGAGGGGTGTACTCCCTTTTGTGGGATACTGTATGTGTCTAGACAGACATGTTTGTAAGTGGTAATGCAGCATTCAGTTTGACTACATGATTTCAATATGATTTTGGCTTCTTATGAGCACTCTCAAGTGGGAGTGACTGAAACAAGAAAAGGCTGTTGGGAGAGTACTTGGAACAAGCCTAATTTATGACTTCTCCTGGAGATTGTTTGAAATACAAGTTTTTGTGTTTTGTTTTTTTTTGTTCTTCCCCCCTGCAGAAAATTAGACTTGTCTCCCAACCTATAAACGTCAACGTCAAAGTATTTCATATACAGGCAGTGGTAATGTTTTAAACATCAGGACATTGAATGTCTGGTGTAAAATATTACCTTCATTCTGAAGCTGCTTTCAATACACTATTGCCTGACAAAGGCCCGCAGTGGTTTGAAACATTGTACAAGTAAACCTGATGGGAAGCAAGATATATTGTGCAGGCGTTCTTCCCTCTGGCCTTTAATCATCCTGACACATTTTGTTCACCAGTTCTTTTTTTTGTCTTCCTCTAGGTATTTGATGGATGGAGCGGAGTCGAGCTCTGAGAGCGAAATGGAAGTGGACGACCAGAGTGAAGAGGAAATGAACACAAAGGTAAATTAGTTTTTTAAGTGAGCCCATAAAATATGATCCTCTCCAGTTTGTAACAGTCAGTCAGTTTCAACACTCTGTCCATGCTGTTCTTGCAGACTCCACAGAAGCAGGAGAGACAGGTGACCCCCAAAAAGACCCAGGAAAAGGGGAGTGAAGACGTAGAGTATGCTGGCTCCACTGATGCAGATGAACCAGGTTTGGATCAAACTACTTTGATAGAAAGTCTTGGTGTGGAACAGTGTAACTGAAAACTTATGTTTTGTTAAAGATTCCGTCAACATCAGCATTGCCATTTCCTTGAATGACTCTACACTTCTTTCTTTTTTGTGTGTGTGTACTGCAGAAACTGTTGTTAGGATAAGAGAAAGAGTGATTGTAAAAGTGATAAATTTAATTTTCTTATTTAATTTAATATCCATCCATCCATCGTCAACCGCTTATCCTGCGTACAGGGTCGTGGGGGGTCGCCATGGCCACACATAGACAGAAAACCACTCACATCCACACCTAAGGACAATTAAGGGTCACCAATTAGCCTAGCCTTGGGAGGAAGCCGGAGCACCCGGAGAGAACCCACGCAGACACGGGGAGAACATGCAAACTCCACACAGAAAGGACGGGGCAACCGGGGTTTAAACCCACGATCTTCTTGTTGTGAGGCGACAGTGCTGACCACTGCACCACCGTGCCGCCCCTGAATTTAATATACAGTATACAAATAATAGCCAGTATACAGATAATAGCCAAAGGTACAGTCTGTACCAACACATGAAGTCCAAACCCCAGAAATTGAAAGTGTCTGAGCTATAGTGAATCACATCAAACTTTCATACATAATTTATACATGTAATGTATTTCCACAGAGTGATCTCCGTTAGTAGAATCGTCTTGTCATACTCACTACACTGTGTGAGACATTGTTCTCTTTCAGTATTTAAATCTTACTGGATGGATTTCTATAACATTTTGTGTAGAAGTTTGTGATCTCCAGACAAGGAATCCTGATGAGTTTGATCATATTGACTTTCTGACTTCTTGACTTTTTTTACTGTTTAGTGCTAATTAGCTAATCTAAGATGTAGGGCTAAAACGATTCATCAATTAAATCAATTAATTCGATTACAAAAATGCATCGACACAAATCGTGATTATGATGGCGCTGTTTGCAAGGTGGAGGAAGAGAGAGAAAATAGGGAGGGACGAAGAAGAAAGTGTCCAAAGTATGGGATTATTTCAAGCTAAAAGCTAACAACTCCACCCACCGTAAAACAAAACTTATGTGGGCTACCGCAACAGCACAACAGCATCTGATCAGAAAGCACCCGGTGTTCTGCCAGCAGACCACAGACAAGGTAACAGTAACAGCAACTTTAGCATTTAGCTGTAATCATGATCGGTTGATTGTTGAGTTGAAGGCTAGCCAAAGTAAGCCGAAATCCTCAGCTATAACTGTACACGTGCGTTTGTTGTTCTACTGGTTAAGCCGTGAGTTTGGTTTGTAATGTCGCAGTCATGAGTTAACTGGGTGTCGGGGAACTGCACCTTAGTATAACTTGTATAGCACTTGGTTGTGCTGGTAAAGCAGTTGTTGCTCTGATGATGTTGTTGGTCTGATGTTTGATGTATGACGCACTGAATTTCCAAAAGGACTAATAAATATCTATCAACGTACACAGCTGATCCCCTTACCGGGGTGGGGGGGGTGACGCCGCCACGAGGGGGGTGTTACAAACGGTAGCTCCGCTTTAATCTTGAGAAGCTGCACAGCTGCAGTCTCGATTCATTATTTATATAGATAGATAGATAGATAGATATATTCACTGTGTCTTAGTATGACCCAGCCAAGCTGCTAGCATAGCTGTAGTCTTTATAATGAAAGTTTGCTTTGTTTGTGCAACAGATTTTATACACAATCTGATCATATTAAGTAACAGAAACTTAACCCAGCCTGCAGCAGATCAGAAAACAGAAATACTACACTAAAATTTCATCTTCTAATTCTATTCTTCTAATAACGGATAACACTTTACCCCTATATGCTTAAATAGAAGCAGTATTATGGATAATTTTATCTGCTCCAATGCTTAACATTTATATTTAACAATTATATCACTATGATACTGGTGTGTTTTCAGTATTTGGCACCTTTTTTATAATGCATTTTTAATGTTAGAGTGGAATCTAGAGTAACACCTAAGTGTGTAAATTCATCAACATTTTTCATCCTTTGTCCATTTAGATAAATAATTTGAAAATCTTTTGTTTGAGTTTATTCAAAAATTCATGGTCAATAGACAAAAGGAACCTCTATGAAGAACCTGAAACAACGGATGTGTTGACAAAGCCACTGTGAAAAGGACAAGACTGTAGATGTAATCACTATGAAGGGACTTGTGCATGATTCTCATTTCTATGTTAATTTGAGGCCAACAGTAAAGTGCATCAGTGAGGAGACACAATAAACACATACAGGGAAACCGCATTTTAATTTTATCTTCTTTTCTTTCCCCACAACAGCACAGGATTGTGTGGTTATGGAAATTGTGTTACATTTTTGAGCTGCTGATATGTTTAATAGAAACATAGATTCACCGGGATTCTGCCTATGCATAATGAACATTTAAAGCAATAGTGAGATTTAATTCCTTTCACAGTGACCAAAAATAAATTCTTTGAAATTTGTGAAATTCAGTGATTTTGTAAACTAGGAGGTCAAGAAACTGTTCATAGCACACATTTTACCTGCAATGCCTTTTCTAGCATTATAGGTACAATGTTTAAAATGTGGCCCGAATTTGAGTTTAAAACAAAAAAAATCAACAGAATGTAAAGAAGTAACAGTTCTGTTGTCACGTCAGAGAAATGTACAGCGGCAGTGTAAGATGCGTCTTTCTTTTTTTTTTAAGTTTACATGTTCTATAGATAACGTGCATTTGTCTACTGCAACAAGAGAAAGATACTGAATCCGTGTATGGTTCGTTCTTTGATTATTTAGTTTCAAATCTAAATCAGAAAAACCAAGTCGTTTTAAAACCAAAACAGAACAATTTTGATATTTAGGCCTAATGAGTCCAATTTGTGTAGCACTGTGTGTTACACTTGATAAACCTGCAGCAGATACACTTATTTTACATTTATTGATTAAATGTAATTAAGATGAGCTTGAACATCAACATAAGTGGGTTTTTAGTTTGAAAAACAGTATAATATAATATAGCTGCAGTACCGGAGGCTTCTATTGGCTCAACGTTCAGTTTGTAACTCACTAGCAACTGGAGCAGGAACGCTTTCTTGAGAATCCTCCGGTTTTTAAGGTTTCTTCAGTTTAAAATTAATTCACTGATAGTGGTCAGTACATCCAATGGTACACAGCAAACATGAGCTATTATTAGTTAATTCGGCGAGCTTGTATATTAACCAATCATACATGGATTAAAAGGTTCGGGTAATTTTCTTTTCGTTCAGCCTCTCTAGGCTACACTGTTTCAACCTGACCTTTATTTTCTGAGATGGAAGAATTTCGAAAGTTGTGCGGAGTTGCGGAGAGCCTCCAGCTACAGGAACACACAGTCTGTGAGCACTCTGGCTGGACGAAGCCTGGCGCTACTGATTTACGCATGATCCATGATTATAGGCTACAGAAAATGAATGGCAAAAACAGCATATTGTCGATATTTTAGAGACCCCCCAAAATATTACAAATCATGTTTTCAGGGGAGCTCATGTCTTAATAAGAGGAGTAAAGCTCCCCGTAGTTCACACCCTGGCTGTAGCCTCGAGAAAAAGCCTTGATAAGCATATTCGGGCAGGGTTCAAATTATAATCTGAGCTTCGTCGGGGTTTTCCAATGAAAATTACATTGTTTGTGATTCCAAATAATGGTTGTTGATAAATGAATTGGAGACCCCCACAGATGACTCCCACGTAAATCGAACCCTGTAATTGGGTATTTTCTTAGATCGCTCAGGTAACCAGCTGCTTCAGATCAGCCCAAAACAAAATGCTTCTTTGATGCTGATGTTCTTAATCTAGAAATTTGAGAATTTTGCTTGAGTGGCTCCTCCAGCTTGACGCAATCTTGCAAAACAAGTAGCCTACATTCTCATGTTTCTTTTTTCTTATGTGGCTATAATGGGCCTATAGTGCTCACTGCTACAATCATATTCGCCATAGTTGATATGCAATGTGACTTGAAAAGAAATGGCATGTAATGCAGTGGGGGATCCCTGTAGCATCATAGGTCAACGCAGTAGGGGTAGCCCTGTAGCGTCAGTTTGTGACGGCAAAGGCAGGTATTATATTTAACAGAAAATAAAATAAATAATAATATAAAATAAAATAGCTTAAATATGTAATATCGACTTTTTGTTTCACACTGTACACAAACATCGGTCTCCTGGTTCAAAGTCCAGGTTCTGAACCTCCATTCACACCAACCACGTTCTTACGCAGTCTTTTCTGTTAAATATCATACCAGCCTTTACCGTCACAAACTGACGCTACAGGGCTTCCCCCACTGTGTTGACCTATGACGCTACAGGGATCCCCAGTGCATTACAGACAGACATGATAAGCCTTGACGATGCCATAAGTCACGAGTCGGGGAGTGAGAAGGAGTTGTAGGGATACAACAACGGTCAAAGATCAAACAAAACGCAGCTCCTTTGTTTTCAGTCATGGGTTAAAAACTGAAACAAAAACAGATGTCTGTTTTTTTGTTTACCGTTTTTCAATTTTTCCGTTTTGGTTTTCAAACAAAATACTGAAAGAAAAACCATACACGGATTATACCAACATGCAAGGGCGTCACTTTGTGTCGAAAAGTAGTGGGGACATAAAGGGCTCAGATTAGGGATGTGACGATACACTTAGCTTACGAGATGTGGCAATGCACTATACTGGTGTCAAAAGAACGAGATGTGATAAATTAACAGTATTTTATAAAAATAATCAAAGCTGAAATATATGAGTTGGGGGTGTGGGGATCCTCACACAGATAATTTTGAGCATTAAAAACTTAATTTCCTGCATTCTGGTGACATTTCCTGTTCTGCCTTTCCTACATCAATTTAGGATGGCAATGTTTATATTTATGTAAAGGGAAACACAAAATTCAGGTGGCAGGTGACAATTCAAAGTATTACAGAATATAATGCAGTGCAGCTCTCAGGCATTCTATGATGCTTTCACATATGTTTCTCCTGTAGATCAAATTTTCTCGTGTACTATCATCCCTACTGAATTAGCCACACATGCAGGCATGATTTAGTCTTCTCTCCTCTTTTGTCACAGGGAGAGAACGGAAAATTTGGCCAAATAGAAACTGTGACAAGAAGTTGTTAAAGTTACTGACTGGTACTGTATGTTTTGGGGTCATTTTATAATCAGTAGCTTGTTTATTCTTACTTAAAAATGCAAATAAACCTTTCTCAAAGCACTTTCATTGGTTCTGTACCATTTCATGTTGCAACCTATTTTTAAAGCATTTTTAACAAACGCTTTTAAAAAGTGATCATCGGCTATCGTGTCTTTCTTTTTAAGGAAACTCAATATTTCTGGAAGCTTTGGTTTTCCTTGCCCAGCTGCTTCATTTAATTTTCCATGTCTGAAAGCTGATTTTTCAAAATCTTATTTAGGGGTTGTACCAGGACAGGTTTACATGGTTTAATTTTCAAAAAACATACTGCACATTGCTGCAGCACCTCTTTTCACCCTGTGTTGAAGACTTTTAGCTACGGGATGATACATCTTGTCTCTACAAGATCTTTTTTGGGAGTTGCACATGCGCAGTTCCTAGTTAAGGACTACTAGCTGATCAGAAGCAGAGTAGGGCGGGCCGTGAGGTTCAGCTGTATATCCCCTTACCAGCTTAGCAACATGGATGGAAATAGCCAATCATAGTTTAGGAAAATGCAGGGGCGCCTTTGGTGGCCTATTAGATTTCACAGGTAGCGCGTGCCACCCAATGCCCACCCCCCTTAAATATGTAATATCGACTTTTTGTATCACACTGTACACCTGAAATTAAACATTGTACCTTTTTAGTCAGTAGTAGTAGTTTTTGGTAATTTTTACCAGATTGACAAATGCTTCATTTCACAGGAGGTGATGATGGTGACTCTGCTGTAGACACAGAGGACGAGCTGCAGAGGTAAACAAAGCAAAAAATGTTAATGATACTGTTTGGAATATCAGTGTCTGTTGGTCCATGTCTTTAATGGTTGTTGACTATATCTCTGCTCTTTTGTTACTCCACTAATAAACTGTCAATCAGTAATTCCGCTTTTACTTTAGTTAATAATGTAAGTTTGTTCTGAACCTGTTTTTGTTCATTAAGTGATCTCTGAGAAAGCCCTTTGGTAGTAAATAAATTTAAAAAAAGAAGAAAAGATCACTTTGAAAGTCACCACTGAATTGCAGAGGGATTGGAGAGGTTAGAGGGTTTTACTCATAATGAAGTAATGTCACTAATGAACTGCTTACTCACGGAAGTCTTTAAAAAGGTTATACTTATAGCTGCAATATCAACAAATGACTGCATGCAATGTCGTTGTGAACTCTAGAAGCTAAAAATCCAGGGATTAGTTGAGACTGAGATAAAGCTAAAAGAAGAGTGAATATTGGCCTTTGTCAGGTGGTTTACAAACATGTCCTAAATGAAAGCTAGTTCTTCTTTTGAGAGGCAGGCATGGAAACATGTAGATATAAACATAAAAGATATATCGAGTCCGTCTTTTGCCCTTGCAATAGGGTGGAGAACGAGAGCAGACAGAAGAACACAGCAGCAGAAGGGAAGGCGGTGAAAGAGGAGGATCCATATGGGGGTTCGACAGATGAAAACACAGACGCTGAGGCTGAAGAGGATCATCCCATTCCTGAGCTACCCGGTATGTCTCTTTGTTCCGTGTCCTCCTGTCTTTGTTTTTTTTTGTTTGTTTTTTTTATCTGTTCCTGTCACAGGAAAAGTCCTATCATCCTCATCGGACATTGCAAACACTGACAGAAAGTAATTGGATGGCTTTCTGCCTTTCAGAGACACCACACACAATCCTCAAAAGTGTGTGTAGTTTTTCTCTGTTTTTTTTTGGAACTTTGTTCCTTTGTCCACTTTGTCATAGAGCACCTATATTTACTCCTCCCACATGTTGTGTAGTCATCAACTTCACTCTTCTGCTCCTTTCTCTTCCCATGTTCTCATTTATTTTAGACTTCCTGAAAGGAAAGCACTTTTTCCTCTATGGTAAATTCCCTAACAACGAGAGGCGCCTCCTGTTACGATACATTGTTGCCTTTAACGGGTAAGAAAGACTTCTAGAACTAAACCTTTACAAATTTCTTTGGTCATGGGAATTCAGTGATAAAAAGAGCACGAAAAGCAAATCTGAAGTTAAATGTTTGTATAAAAACACAATACCGTCTATGCTCCAGCGTGATCGAGGAATACATGACAGAGAAGGTGCAGTTTGTGGTGACCAGTGAAGGGTGGCACGACTCCTTTGAAGACGTGAGTTGAATCCTCTTTTTTTTTTCTCCCTTTGGTTTTACATTCCTCTGGCAGCCATGGGCAAATAATGACGTCTAACACAAGCTTGAAAACATTGTACTACACATGCCTGCTTTTCGCTCTCACAGGCATGACAATTGTGTGAAGCTAGTTGCTTCAGGAAACATAATGCTCATTTATACAAAGTGCACAGCTGAAAATCTCAATCTCTAAAGCCAAAGAGGGGGAAAAAATATCCTTTGAACATGTCACACCAAAATATTAACTGCACAGAGACATCTTGCATTTTCTTTTAAGAAGTAACCGCTTATCATTTTGCAAGGTATAATCAAATAAAAGCAATGAAGCAAATTGGGGATCTGAGTATTATGGCCTTCACAGTGAAAATGCAGTGGTGTTGAGACCAAGTGCCTTTTGAGACTGTTTTAAATTTTTTCAGCCATTTGAGGGCCTTGTTAGAATCTGAATTAGCAGTTTTAGTTATATAATCCAAGCTTTCAGTTTTTCAAAGGCTTTATACCTCTTCTATCTGTCCATTTGTAATGCACTTTCACTCTCACTCTTATTACAGGCGCTGATGGAGAACAGCAATCTGAACTTCGTAAAACCCACATGGATTTACGCAATCAATGAGCGACAAAAGATGTTGCCCTATCAACCCCACTCTGTCGTCCCCTGAATAACAGAGTTTATGCACAGATGCACTCATTTCATATCCTGACCAACAAGAAATGGGGAAAGCCATAGACACACGTTGACTTTTTTTTATCTTCCCTCCCCTTCACTCACATAAAAGCTATGAACCACTTATAGTCCTTTAATGCCTTTAAATTGACTTTATACTTTCTATTCATGAAATGTCTACGACCCTCAGATGTTTTCACCACAGATGTTCTTACCTTTTTGCCTAGCTGGAAAAAAATTTAATGGACACTGTTGAGGTTAATGTTAGTATTAGGTTTTGATTTATTATTAGCTTTTTATTTGTTGGTTCGACCTTGGTCAGAAAGTCATCTTCATCGCCTTTGTGCTGCTCAGTGACATTGGCTTTATGAGCAAAGCACATGCTCTCTGATTCAGGACTTTGAATATCTCAGTTCCTGTGCTGCAGTTTGCTGCTGCTCTCCTTGGCTACCTCAGGCTCTGTCTAGAAATGAGTTATCACCCTGTCCTGACGGCCAGCGGCACTGATAAGACTCTTAAGTTGCGTAAGCGGGAAGACCATGATGAGACCAGCCCAAAGTCAGGTGAAAGGTGTCAGCTATTGAAGACTGCAGCCAACAAATGCAAAAAAAATCAGGACAGCTCAGTTTTAGAAATGAAAATGAATCCTGGGGGACTGTTTGTTTTTCTCCTTTTTATTTTATTAAATGTCATGAGTGGTAAAGTGATGGATTCCTGTGTGTTGTTAAATTTGGATAAATCTGAGTTTGTGTTGTATTCATGTCTGGGTTTTAATATTACAAGAGATGGACTGTCTCAAAAGATGTGAGGATGTGAAACAGACGTCAGTCTTTTGAGTCACTCAAGATTTTCAAAATGCTTCTTAAGATGTGAGGACATGTCGGGCTTACTGTCTTTGGCTGCTTGCTTGCTTGTCTAAAGCAGCTTGTTGAAGATATTAAAGTTTTTTTGTTATAGAAGTTAATTATTATGTATAAATAAAAATAGGTTTTGAATTAAAGGTATTATTCTCATTTTTATTCATCAAACTGTCTTTGCCCTTAGCTGCTCTCATCCCTTCCTATGCTCTCTGTTTGCAGCTAGAGAGGCACTCCTATTCCTTTTCATTCTCTCATCTCGAGCCCCCTCTCCTCTCTAATTTACTCTCCTCCTGCTTTGTGCCCGGAGCCACTGGGTCTTCTGCTCTTCAGTCAAGGGGATTAGAAAGATGGAATGTGGACGAGAGACGGGGATGGAGGGGTGGTTAACAGGGGAGAGAGGATAGAAGAAAGATGGAAAGGTTTAGATGCATTTTTTAAGAAGCAATTGATCCGGCTGTTTTATTGTACTACTAAAGAAAAGTAAATTCACATACTACCAAGTTTGAGGCCCACTATTGCCACTTCCTGCAAACCTTGTATTAGGCACTGATTTGCTTTTCATAAAGGAGAGAGCCAGGTCAAATCTATTTACTTCTCGAAGCAGGGACACTTACAGGAGCTTAACAGCATCATCCTGATACAATGTCATATTTCATTTAAAAGCATATCAGTCTTGAAGATGGCAGGGAGAATGGGCGGCTGTCAAATTGTTCTATTTGACAGGTCAGTTATGTTCACACAGCAGAGCTTCCACCTCATTCTTGTCACCTTGATCTCTTAAAGTCAGATTTATTCTTTGCTCTTTGCAATTTTATGTCTCCCTTGAATATTTGCAATGTCCTTGCCTGACTGCTTTGATAGAAAACATTGTTTGAGTGTAATTTTAATCCTCACTAATATTTAGAAGTGGGTGTTCAACTTATAAATGTTTTTATTCCCTGTGATAGTTTATTATTTTGTTCTTCCTACAGAACTGGCTCAGGGTGAAAATGGAGATGTGTTTTCACCTTGACCTAATAGTCTACTATTATTATTATATTACTATCTACTTTGATTCTGTGTTGTAAGACAATAAAACAGGAACAGGTAAAGAGGTTGAATACTTCTTATAGGCACTGTACATAAGGCAAAGGACTAAAACTATATACTTATAGTTTCTTCATGATATCTGTCAGTTACAAGTAAGCTAAAAAAAGATCTCAGTCCATCACCCAACATTATCTTGCAGGTACCATATGATGTTAAAAAAAAACTGATGTTATGCATAACCTGGATTACTAGATCGTTTTATTGTGGCCCTGAGAGCTGAAATATTTTTCCTCGCTGCGTTCGGATACTCCTGAAAATGGCTGGACATTTTACAGTGGTGTGCAAGGTCAAACGCTGCAAACCTGCCTGAATGGAAGGACTTATAAGTCCAGTTTGTGATAAGTTGGCTGGAGTGGAAAATGGAGTGTTTAAAGTGATGGGTTTTTGAAAATGAAAAAAAGTTACTTTAAACAAAAGCATGCAATCCGCTCTAAATATCTTTGATATATTTAAATTCCCATTTTGATGCAGAGTAGTAGTTTCTGTTGTTGTTTTTTTTAAAAGGAAGATTGCTTTTCTCAAGATCAACACAATTGTAACTATATAACTATATACTGTTGGTAGTTTAATTTGTAGGCCTGAACAACTTCCCTTAACTGTGATAATATATAATAATTCATAATTTATTTGTTATACTTTTACTATAGGTTGTATTAAACTGAACCCTTAAGTAACTAATGCGCACACACTGGTGGGTGCACAACCCCAACGCCAGATTGACGTCAGTCAAGGTGACTTGATATGGTTTTCATCATTGAATTTATTGATATGTAGTCTGACATTCTCTGCTCAATCTTGCCAGATTGATTGCCAGAAGACACGTTAATGGCTCCTTTGGTGGGAAATACGCCTCACCACATCCAAAACTCTATTGACTTTGTAAACAAAGTTCAAGGACTAAAACTGGATCCAGATGAAACCATCCTATGACGTGACTTCTTTGTTCACCTGCATACCCGCCATAGAAGCAGTAGAAACCGTTAGGAAACGGCTAACACAAGACAACACCCTGGACAACAGAACTAGCCTCAGCTCTGATCAGATCTGTAAATTATTCGACCTCTGTCTAAACACCACCTATTTCCAGTACAACGGAGGATTCTACAGACAGAAGCATGGCTGTGCCATGGGCTCACCGGTATCCCCGATTGTGGTGAACATCTACATGGAAGAAGTGGAGAACAAAGCCCTCAACTCCTTCAGAGGAACAGCACCGAGCCACTGGTACAGATATGTGGACGACACCTGGGTCAAAATTAAAAGCCAGGAAGTGCAAGCTTTCACAGAACACATCAACCCTGTGGACAGTAACATCAAGTTCACACGAGAAGATGTTCACAACAACTGTTTGGCCTTCCTGGACTGCGCTGTACACATTGAAGAGGACAGGAGCCTGCAGATTGGGGTTTACAGAAAACCCACACACACAGACCAAAACCTACTCTTCGATTCACACCACCCATTGGAGCACAAGCTAGGGGTCATGAGAACACTGCACCACAGAGCGGAAAACATACCAACAAGCGCCCAAGCCAGAGAGAAGGAACAGAACCACCTGAAGGGGGCACTTACAGCCTGTGGATACCCTAAATGGGCTTTTGTGATAACAGCCACAAGATCCAAGAAGAACAAAACTACAGGGGAGGAGGAAAAGAAGGTCAAACGCAACAACATTGTGATTCCATACGTGTCTGGAGTATCAGAGAAACTCAGGAGGATTTTAACAAACATAACATCCCTGTGTTTTTTAAACCCAAGAACACACTAAGACAGATGCTGGTACACCCCAAAGACCGCACACCCAAACACAAGAAAAGCAATCTAGTGTATGCGGTCCAATGCAGTGAGGAATGCACAGACCTGTATATTGGGGAGACTAAACAACCACTACACAAACGCATGGCTCAACACAGAAGGGCCAACTCCTCAGGTCAAGACTCTGCTGTCTACTTACATCTGAAGGACAGAGGACACTCGTTTGAGGACCACCAGGTGCACATTTTAGACAGAGAAGATGGATGGTTTGAAAGAGGTGTCAAGGAAGCCATCTACACCAGGGTTGAGAAGCCGTCATTGAACAGGGGAGGGGGTCTACGCCACCACTTATCCCCCACTTACAATGCTGTCCTTTCATCACTTCCCAGGAAACTCAACAAACGTAACCCATTGGCCTCAGGTGAAGATACCAACGATGGTCGTTCAGTCTTGGCCACAGGTAGTCTCAACGACTGTAACGACTGTCGTCACAGCAACAAGGAACACTAATGAACCAGCAGTATCGATGACCCGGGCCAACGACCCCACTGAGGTTAAATAGGTGAGTTTCCCTGCCAGTCAGTCAGAACTGAAGAAGTCCTTTGGATGAGGGACGAAACGTCTTCCAGTATCTTCAACCAAGTCCAGTTGCCCTTGACTTTAACCTTTGTTGGATTTTTTTATTATTTATTGTTAATAAGACAGCTGTGACGGTTTTGCTGCATGATGTCTTTAAATCTCTGGAGCTTTTTTGTTGCTTTTAATTTTGCCATTAAAGGTGATCCATCACAGGAAATGGGAAAAAAAATGAAAAAATTACGTCAGAGCATTAATGTCAGGCAGGAATTTTACATTTTGAAAAAGTTGTGCTCATTGCTTCATATTAAAGTTCACTTGTAAAAGAAAATAAATCAAGCTTTTGTCATAAAACTGCTCTTCAAAGAGAGTTTTGAATAAGCTTTGATTCATTTTGAGGTATAGACAGTGATGTTGGCTCCAGCACAGAGCCCAGTAGATTTAAATTTTGGAGTTTGCACTACTAAATGACTTGTCATTTCCTCAAAGCATGAGCTTTAAGTTCTGACCTTCTCTCCTCTTCCTCCTGTCTTTGCCCTTCTCACTCTTATAATTGATCACCAGTGGAGGTAGGAGTACTTAGTACTTAAGTGCCACACTTGTGTAACTAAAAGTTTTGCAACCAACATCCAGACGAAATGTACTTTGTAGTACAGTACTTGAAATATTCATTATGCAGCAGAATGGCCCTTCTCAGCATTATATATATATATATATATATATATATACCAGCACTGACTACAACATTTGCATGTTACAGCTGGGGGGGGGGGGTAATCTTTTCATGTATGTACTGCTAAGGAGGGTAATTATCTACAATGCATAATCATTAATAATGATCATGTGTTGTGTAAGTGCCTCAAAATATTTCTTAGACCTATAACTGTACAGAGGTTACATTACACAACACTGTAAACCCAAATAAGTTCAGAATACTGAAAATATTTGTGGAAACTGATTACCTCAAACTTTTATAGTAGTGACAATATTTGAGTAAAGCTTAAATATAACATGCTTTTAAAAAAACCTTTAATTTCCTTATACTAAATTACATTGATTCACTGATTATTAAAATTAAATTCCACTAATTCTTTACTCAATAAATGTAATTATGCAGACCTTGCACACACACACACACACACACACACACTTAGCACTAGGGATGGGGATCGTAAATTTTTATTGATACCCTTATTGAGACTGCTTAATGATCAGATTCTTTAACGATACCACTATCGATACTTCTTATTATGGAAGACCAGACCCAACGGGCATGAGGTAGGCTTGCACGGTATGAGGAAAATATTATAATAATATTATATATAAATGTGCGCTAACATTGTTATATATTGAGATGACATAGGACTTAAATAAAAATAATATATAAACATATATTGAACTGCCTGGTTGTTTTAAAATTTATAGGTTTAGAATTTAATTTAACATTTTAAATACAACTAAATGCTGTTTCTAGAGCAGCAACATTAACATACATCATAATACTGAGTGACGTTTAGAAAGAAAACTCTGTATCATTCCTCCTCTTCCACCTCCCCTCTGCCGTTATTCACTGCCTACAGCTTTCTATTTAGATGGTTTTTAACATTTGGGTAATTGCCAAGTTAACATTAGCAGTGCTAGTAAATAACATAGCCTACAGGATGACAGACTGAGGACAGAGATGATTTACCTTACAGACAGGTGTCTTGATAAAGTATTG